TAAGTTCTATTTTTCTATTGTATCAAATACTTATTTCATGCAATAAAATGGAAATAAATTATTTAAAAATCTAACAATGTGATTTACTGGAATTTTTTTGTAGATTCTGTCTCTCACAGTTCAGTTGTACCTACGATGAAAATTACAGATCTGTCCATTCTCTGTAAGTGGGAAAACTTGAAAAATCAGCGGTGTATGGTACATACTCACACATAACACACACAGATGTACACACAATCTCAGTCCAGTGTGTCAGTGTTTCTGTGTGTATGTGGGGTCTTACTGGAGCTGATAGGGCCCTATCACACACACACCATCTGCTCAGCCAGTCCCAGTCCTCCGCAGATACTGTCAGCATTTCCCACTGGGCTCCAGGCAATGCCAGAACTTGCTCTGCGCACGCATACACAATACTGTACATGAGCCTGTTTTTGTAGAATTTCAGAAAGGCACACATAGCACAATCCTTTTGCCTTCATTGTCCAGGCCCATGTTCCAAGTCCCCCCTCTATGAACAGCTTTGAATAGTTGATTTTCTATTTCCCTGTGCAGCTCCCTTAGGTTACTGTAAGTCAGCATGCATGATGTACTCGAACCTTTGAATTAAGCAGGATATCTGCCAGTCCACACCTAACAGTCCTTCCATTTTGTGTCCATCCTTGTATGTCGTTCATGACTTCTCATCTTTTTTAAACTTATTTACATGTTCTCCCATCTTATTCAAGAATGTAATTTTTGTTTTGATTTATTTCCACACATTTACACATGGATTCTGCCCTAAAACAACCCCACTCATTTCCTGTTGGCAGCAGGAAAACAGTTGCACTTGTGTTTGATAAAAAAAAAAAAAAGCTTGTCTCTCCACCCCTGGATTTTGAATTTGATTTCAAAAATTGAAGCCAATGATTTTTAAGCCACTGTCTAGCTCCTCTAACCTTTGAGCTCCCTAAACAGCCTGTACTACTTCACTGAGGATGGTAAAAGCTAGATAGGTAACTGGTGCTATAGACAACCTGCCCACACATCACAGTGTATGGTATTTTACAACATCAACATGATTTGTTCTCTGTCCAACCAAAGAACTCCATTATTAGAATGAAAAAATAGAGTTGTTTGGTTGTCAGTGTGAGTTGACTCTTAGCTCATGGTGGGCTCTTTGGCCGTGTGAGCATGTGGTACTCGGATTTTAATATTCCCTTCTCCTTCTCTTCCTTAGTGGATGAAGGAGATGTGGCGCTCAGACTCCTGCTATGCCAACTACGGTGTGGATGGATCCACCTGCTCCTTCTTCATCTACCTCAGCGAGGTGAGCACTGTGTCTATTTGTGTCCACATCTCGGATTTTTCCAGTGCTACATAGGAAATGTAGACTAGTCTTGGGCTGAAATGAATGATTTACAGATTGTTTTCCTCATCATTTAATATGCAGATAATTTTCTTGATTAATTATTTAACATATAAAATATTAAAAAAGTGAATTTTATTTATTGTTTTTATTGTAAATAAAAATGCATCCACAAAATGGGCAGGTGACAGACATGTTTTGCAGTTTGGGTTTTCTGAACTGCTACTTTTTCAAATTAAATTTCTATTCTGTAAGTGGGAATGCCATGTGTGTAATGGCACTATCTGCATTAACATTTTCCTATTATAACTTAGAGTAAGATGCAATTGCTGCAGCATAGCAGCACAGACAACCCAGAAAATGGATTTTGAGTAAATGCACTACTTTGACAACATTCCTGAGAATGATCACACAAAAAAAGACCAAAGGAAAGAGATGGAGGAGATGTCATTTTTAATGAGAGCAAGTAGAGGTGGTGTATGGCACTTCTTGAAAAGATGGGTTTTCAGGCTGCACGGCAACACGTGGAATGACTTTGCCTTACTCTCTACATATCATCACCAAGCAGGGAAAAAAGCAGCCAGATCATGCATTATTAATGAGTACTAACATATAGAAGCTGACACTTTCAGACTTTCCATCTTGCATGATTTGTTTTTGTCAGACCATGGGCAGGTATTTGTTTCTAGAGATGAATTGAATCTCATCAGTAATTTTAATTAAAGTCTAAAGTAGAAATTGATCAAGTTTGGGAAGAGGTTTCAGCTTCTCTGTAATTACTTCTATTTATTCTTGAAACTCAACTAAAACTTATAAGTGGATTTCTTGAACCCGTTTACCATCACCATCGGAATACAAAACGTACTGGATGCTTATGAAATGTGGGTTTCAAAAATGTTTTGCACTTTTTAATCACTCACATTCTCAGATCCCAGAAATCAGCTCCAATTCCCATAGGACACAACTGTGATTTATCATTTCAAAGAGCCTTCATAGATCATAGCCATGATTACTTGTGTTTGATTTGGATTCTGTAGTACGTCTCATTCTTCCTCTCTTCTACTGGAAAAAAAATCCATATTAATAAGGTGTTTTATAATGATTTTAGTGAGAATGAAGACTATGGAGGGCTCTTCCTTGGTTGAATATTTTTAATAAAAGATTTCAGTCGTGTCTTCTGCTCTGGAAAGGTCAGTAGTTTCTTATGAATATTGTATATGAGCTGAAAGCCTTGCATTCAGCTGAGAAGAGAAACCCTGTAAAGAAGTAGAAGTGAGATAGAGAACAACAAAGGCCATTAAGAAACATCTTCTTTCTTGTTCTCTGTTCCTGGAAACCATGCACAATCAATCTGTAAAGAACAATAAGAATTTTAACAGATGTGGCTACTACTTTTGATTCTGCTAATCTGACAACCCTCAGCCTGGTCATGTGATCCCAGGGTTGCCATGGCAGCATGCGTGTATTTCCATCCAGAAACAGCAGCGATTTGTCTCTCCATCTATTGTGGCTCGTCACTCAGGCTCACATACACACCCTTTGCCATGTATAATTCATCCTTGTCGATCACCGCATTAACCTTGTAAAGGGGCAAAACAAAGAGGTCAACATATTATGATGGATCTCAGTGATTTGAAGGTCAGGGCTCAAATCTCAGTGTGTGTCTGTGGTTTGAGAGTGTGAATAAACACAGTAGGCTTGCCTCAAGCAGCTTTTACAGAGCAGTTTTTATTCTGTTGTTGCTGAGGTAGGCAAAACGCACACACATTCACATACGCATATACTGTACATGCTTCTCCAAAATTCACTCTGATCATACGCCAATTGTGCATGAGAAAGGAAACACTGAAATAGCGAAGTGGAACATAAGAGTCCACAAAAGTTTTACACAGACAAATTATCCACTACACCTGTTTGTACGGGTGTGTCTCACCTGCCAGTGTATGCATTTAGCACTGTTAAATGGTCAAAGGAGGCTGCATCTGAAGTTTAACATCCAGGCAAAGCAGGTGTATTCATGGATTTTCTTGGCAATAACAAAAATGTAGAATATTTTGATATCCTTCTCTTTTTAACTTTAACCATTTGTGTCTGTTCCCCTAAAATTTTATTTATAACCAGTATTCAACATGAAAAACAGTTTCGCTCTCATCTGCTTTCTACACATGTGCAACATGCATGAATCTGATTCTGATTCTGATTCTGAATCAGCTTTATTGGCCAGGTGTGTCGGACACACGAGGAATTTGACTCTGGTACATCGGCTCTCAATGTGCATGTACATATCTCCCTGCAAGGGGCAAATAAACGGTAAACCAACATAAGGCTGTGTAATATAACAAAATAAGCAGTATTAACAGCAACAAACAGTGCAAACAATGCAAAATAAACAGTATAAACAGGCAGTAAACAATGCAGAAAGCAAATCAGATGAACTACTGCAAAGCCTATTTACATACTGTATGTAGTCTTAGTAAAAACCCCACACAATTACAAAATTAATACACAGCTTTGCACCCCTGACAGTACTTTGCAGCCTGCTTGGAATGACTTCACAAAGCCTAAGCACCTTTAATTGTATACTGTATGTATTCATCCATCAGTGCCAATATACAGTATGTCACCTCTTTGTCTGGTTGTATTATTGTTATTAAGAGTTGCAAAAATGTTGTTTGCGGTTTGTTCCATAGGTGGAGAATTGGTGTCCTCGCCTGCCCTGGAGGAGAAAGGCCCTGAATGAAGAAATGGACAGGAGGGGACAGGTGAGACAGCCGATAGCTCATGTTAGGAGTAAATTCGAAATACATGGACACTTCATCTACCTCACCAGGTTTGTTGTGATAGTAACTAGCTAAAACTGCTATCATGAAGCCCTACCTACTGTATATCCAAATTGTTGCTTACAGTAGCAGTAAAACTCCAGACATTGTGACAGTGATCCTCCCCGCCGATCATCCTGTGTAATGAGGAGAGACCACAGAGGTAAATGACACAAAGCCATGGATGGAGTCGCGGAGCCAAGTCTTCATGAAGCATAAAGCTGCAGAGCGTGCAAAGTCAGAGTTAGTCCTGTTGACCAGATGGAGTTCATCCTTCTTGTTGGCTAGTGAGCGGACTTTTGCTAGGTGGATGGACGGGAGTGGAACCTGGGTCCCTCTCTGGCGTAGCCTGACTAAGGCGCCCACTCGCTTCCCTCGCCGGTGCTTCCTCCAGGTTCCGTAAATTGTAGCTGCGCCACCAATGAGAATGTCCACACAACATTCTTCGTTCACAAAAGTCAGAGAAAGGTGGCTTGGTGTGAGTTGTCCGATGTTTAACAGTTCTTCTCTGGTGAAAGTAATCCGGGATGGGTTGCAAAAGGCTGAGGAAACAAGGAAAAACAACAAACACAGGAGAGCACGAGTACACAATGTGACCATAGTTGTCGGCACCATCTTGTATAATCAAATTACTAAATATACCAAAATAGCACCAATACACAAGAGGTAATTTCCACTGCAGTGTGTGTGATCATGTTTTAAAATGAGGCAGCAAATAAACAAACAGGCTGAGACTGATTCACAGTGTCAGCATGCCTCAGCAGTAGAAAAGAGCCAGGCAGGTCTCATAGACCAAAGCCGGAATGACGGGACCTTAGTTCAAATCTGAACTAATGATCTTCTTTCCCTGCCAATGCGACAGCTCACTCAAATCCCACTTGGAGAGCTTCTACTGGCCGACAGACTTGTGCACAGTCCACAGTATCAGCGCCGTTCGAAGCCCCACCCCCTTCTCTCTGCTGCGGGTGGATCAATATTAAGCACTCTTCATCCTCTGCTCTGGATGCAGCAACAGCACTGAGCCCTCAGTGGTGGGGAGATACCATTTGACAGGCTTTGGAGATTTTAATTCAGATCCAGATTTTAATAGGCTCAGTCTGTGGAAGTGATTTCCTGTCGTGATGAGGGATGCTAATGCCCTGCTACAGCCTTGTTTCAGCCACCTTAGTGGCTGGTAATGGCACTGTGGTTTCTCCTCTGCTCACTCTGTCTCATTCACTGCTCTTTTTCTTCTCTTCAAACTGTCTGTGAGCATTTCAGTATCTGAATTACACAAACACAAAGTATCAAATGCAATATTTTTACCTTTATACCTCTCTTTGTTTGGTATTCAGATGAAGTTATATATTGTGTAATGTGACATCAAATGCTGTGAATGTTGTCAGCAGCAGCAGCCTCGCTTTAATTTCCCTGGTTTGTATGACATTACTTGGACTTCAAGGGAGTAACAGTCTTAGAAAACAGGATGGCGTTATTTCATGTTTCACAGCAGAATTTTCTGCCCTTCTCTCTTTTTTGTTTCCTTTCCTTTTGTTGTTGTGTCCCTTTCTTCCTCTCTTTTCTTTTCTTCTTCTATTCACACCCTTCCTCTTCTTTCCTTGTCTCTTTCCATTTTCACTTGTCTTTATCCTCTCCTTTCCTGTCCTGTTTTCACACTTTCCCGTTCTCTCCTATCCACCCATGTTATTTTCTATATTCTTTAATTTTATTTACTTCCCCCTTTCTCCCCTCTTGTCTTACTGTTCATTTCCTTTCTCCCACCTTTTCCCTCTCTCCTTTTCTTCCTGTCCTATCCTATCCTTTCCTTTTCCCCCTACTTTTCACTCCTCTCTAAAACCTTCTTATAAATGAGCGTTTAAAGATGTGACTGATGCGTTCACTCCTTTCACATTTATTTGTCACACTGAGGGCTTTCCGCTCTGAATGCTTCAGTATTTGTTGTTCCTCTCACTATAAATATATGACAGTGCCTCTCTGAGTTCAATATGTTTGATGTCTTGCTCTCAGGAGACATCTCAGACATATATTATTGTGCCCTCAATGTATTATTTCCTCTGTAGGTGTGTCTGACAGCTCATGATAGTTATTATCGTCTGAATAGAATCACTTGAATATCAGTGATTATAGAGAGATTTCACTGACCTAATAGGGCACCTCGAAGGTGGCAAGTAGTGTAGCATTCAGCAGTCATTCATCCACCCATTTATTGTAAGCAATCCCTACTATTCTTTCTCTTGGATATACCTTTTATTCTTAAGCTTTCCTCAAGAACAATTTGCCTCTATGAAAACAGGCCTTTGGCAATTTAGAGATTGATTGCATAAGTCATTATTGTATTTTGAAATTAAATTAGAGTAAAGATTTAAATAGACACCCTTTGGATTTTCTCATGGAATCGGGAGAAAAAACAGACACAAGCGCAAGGATATAAAAAAATCTAACAAGCAGCAGGATAACAAACCAAAAATACAGCATCGTAATGTTGCAGTGTCTGTTACGGAAGAGTATTAGGGCCACTGCATAAATTTTTCATAAAATTCTGACTTTATTCTCAGAATTCTGACTTTAAACTCAGAATTCTGACTTTAATCTCAGAATTCTGAGATTTAAAGTCAGAATTTTGACTTTATTCTGAGATTAAAGTCAGAATTCTGACTTTAGTAGTTTGATATAAATAGCAGATTGCATTATCTGGTGTACAGGTGAAAACATCCTGTTCATGCAGATGTGCACATTTGAGAATGCACAGTAGGTGACAGTAACATTATCAAAGCAAGCAGACAAATACGTACAAGTGTACGTACAAGTGTACATATACATATTCTGATTGGGACTACATTAACAGTGTCACTTTTGTGTGTGTGTGTGTGTGTGTGTGTGTGTGTGTGTGTGTGTGTGTAGGCAGAGATCCGGACCAGTTTTGAGGAGCTTTATCGGGTGATGTCACAACGGGAGGAATTCCGCTGGATGATGCTGAGGATCAAACGCATGGCTGAGCCATGGGTCAGCGCCATCCGCTCACTGGCTGCCAAGCAGAACCTGACCAAGCGTCGGAGGAAGAAGGTGGGCACAATACGCTAGTACAGTGGAGAAATCAAATGAGATAGTTATTCTACCATATTATTTACATTTGGGTGGCATTTAGTTGACACGTTATAAATTGATATGTTTTTTTTTTTTTTTTTTTTGTCTTAGGTTTAGTTTTGACATGCCTCCCAAATAGAGCATTGTACTTTCCGCTTAAAGGGCCCATGGCATGCTTTTTCTTGTTTTCTGACTTATCTACAATGTTACAATGGTGAATTAGCATCTTAGATGTGAGACTAAAGCTAATAAAATGAGGTCTACATATATTCTAGTATTTCTGTGCAGAAATAACTGGGTTTATACACATCTTGCAAACTCTTGCTCGTGAGGCTTTTTTTTTTTCTACCAAGATAAAGCATTAGGTGATAGTTTAAGGATCTCCTTGAATGGGCATAAAACCCAGGCCGTTGCATGTTCACTTGAGCTTGCCTGACATCCATCGGTGCAACTGTAAAAGTGGATTTTTTCAACTGTGCCCGGTTTTGTGGATATATTTACCTCCTGCTGCTGCACTGTGACCAGTGGATGTGGAGAAATATACAGGGCTTGAGGTTACTGCATGTCTGGGAATGTTCCTGTACAGGGACTCACTGTTTTACCTGACCGGGTCTAAACTACAAGCAGCCGATCTGTGAAGCCCCCGCCGCTGTTAGATATCAGCTCATCAATGCCAGGAGCACAGTACCTGTTTGTTTTGACTGCTTGAAGCCAGTGTGTCTGCCACATATGATGTGTTACCGGTTAACTAGCAGATTAACGACCCATGATGTTATTTACGGCACTACCTGTTGGAATTAGTTTCACTACTTTGGGATTGTATGTGGTTGTGTGGGGAAGATGTGGTGACCACTGGTTGGATTTACCAACCTTGGAGCTACTTGAAAGGGAGTGATGTTTCCACTACTTGGTGGGACTTAACAGTAAGTTTTTAAAAAACCCACAAGAGTTGTATGTCTGTTAATGCCTTGCTTCTGTAGAGAATTGTTGAAAGGCTGGAGAAGTTATTATGCCAGTTAACATATGGGGTTTCTCAATCACCTACTTTGTTTAGAGTGTTAGATATCTCTTTTCATCTGTAAATATATCGTTGTGTAACTGTCTATGAGGGAGGGAATTAATGCGGTCGCAGTTTGTTTGTGCTGTCCACTTGCGACACAACACCGGCAGCAGGAGTTGTGCGCGTTTACGAACTATCCTCTTGTTTCCAGGAAGAGGCTTTCTGGGTGATATCAGTGTAATCATTCTGAAATAATTACAGTCTGTCTGTAGTTATGAGGGCTCCTAAAATAATCTAGAGGTAACAGATAAAAAAATTAAATTGTTGGAAAGTAGCATGCCATGGGCCTTTTAAAACATTACCTTTCATTTCATGCTATGCCATTTTTTCCAAACTGATTTAATAGGCACAGTGTTCAGAATAATAAATAAAATGCTGCATTGACTGTAGGTGTAAATAACATAATATAGTATCAGTTGGGGGCAGAATGCCACATAAGTCAAAGATTATAACTTTAAACAGCTAACTGACTCAACACTCAAACAGGTGTGGGCAGATATAACAAGTGGATTTCTCCAATTAGATGGCTTTTTTGCAACTCCCACTCTCACAAAGAAATATCACAACTGAATATCAACAGTTATTAGCTTAAAATTCAGTATTTTCAAAAGTTATCCCTCTCCAGAATGTTGTAAAAATAGCTGCCCCTGTCTTAAGCCTGTTGAAGTACATGCATCAGGTATAGAAACAGACTTATTCATACTTTCTGTCAGCCCTGCTTTTGCTCAGGGATAAAAATGGTTGTGGGAAGGGACTCACATGGATATTCCATTGTGTCCCAAGCTGGTAGCAGCTCCCAGCGTTCAATAACGTACTCCTTACCTTCCACAGGCCTTGTGAATAATAATAATATATCTCATTTCCATGATACCTTGGTGCAGATGCAAAGCAGCATCCTCTCCAGCAAAGCAGAGAGTGCACAAAACAAGAAGCTTCTTCTGTTTATTTATGGAATCTCACCCATCCTTCCCTACTTTTTGTTTCTCATTTTAATCTGTTCAGCCTATAATGAAACAGAGCATTATTTTGTTAATACTTTCAGGGGCTTTTTTTTATTTCAGCTGTTAATCTCTTTTGAATATTAATTCACACATATTAATCCTTGACCTAAGATTGGGCCTGGCTGTCAATGAAAAGCGTGTCGGTCACTTCAAACAAAGACTGCTATTACTTTTTAGTCCTGCTGTGGAACAATGAATTCTCCACAGCAGCTTAAAGCCATCCTGTTCCTGTTGTGTGTGTGTGTGTGTGTGTGTGTGTGTGTGTGTGTGTGTGTGTTACACATTAGTTAAATGTATTTTATAAACAAATCACTTTCACGGTCCCCTACTATGATACCTATGTTTAAATACAAAACTAGTGGGGTCTCTTTGAATGTTTTGTCCACCGTTTTTCAATTGTCATTTTCAATAATCTTTCATTTTTTTCTTTCTGCATTTTTCTATGTAGCAAAGATGTCCAGATGTCACAGATGTCTGTCCTCCCTGTAGTATTGCATTATACATTTATACTGAAAACACTCACATCTGTTACTGTAACTGTTGTATTTTCCTAAGCCAGATTCTGTTGTACTAGCCTTGACCAGACAGTTTCCCCTTTATCAAGTGTGCAGCATTCTTATCAACCGTTACCCACAATAATCTGCAGACTGACTGTGAACTGTGGTATTCTTAATAAAAGGACAAAAAATTGTGACAAACTGCTAAGATAGATAAGTTATTAGTGTCAGTAATTTTATTCCATACTTTTTCCTGTCCTTCATCAGATCCTGGTGCACTTGGGCCTTCTGACTAAGGAGTCGGGCTTCAAGATAGCAGAAAATGCCTTCAGTGGTGGCCCGCTGGGCGAGTTGGTCCAGTGGAGTGATCTCATAACCACACTGTACCTGCTGGGCCATGAAGTGCGCATCTCTGCCTCTCTGGCTGAGCTCAAAGAGTCAGTACCAACTTTAGGGTTCATTAAATGTACAATTTTGTAATATGTATTAAGAAAATGTACCTGTCAACTTCCACTTATTCTTAGAGTAGAACTGCAGGAGATCCGTGGTTAAAACCAGTTTTTATCATTTGAGACTCTTAACGAAGGTGAAGCCGATTTAGAAAAAGCCATCCATGCCTTCATCACCTCGCGTCTTGACTATTGTAATGCCCTCTATGTCGGAATCTCTGTCTCTTCTGCGGAAGCTTCAACTGGTTCAAAATGCTGTGGCTCAACTGTTGTCAAACACTCCTAAGTATGCCCACATCACCCCTATGCTTCGCTCATTACATTGGCTGTCAATACAGTACAGAATTAACTTCAAAGTACTACTATTTGTTTTTAAGGCCATGAATGGCCTTGCTCCGCCATACATTTCGGATCTTCTCTCTGTCTATGTGCCACACAAAACCCTGCGCTCCTCAGAACACCTGTCCCTGGTTGTTCCTCGGGCTAGGTACAAAAAATGGGGAGATCGCTCTTTTTCCGTGTATGGCCTCAGGCTTTGGAACTCCCTACCGCCAGAGCTTTGGGCCGAAACTGAGCTGGCGGCTTTTAAGTCGACTCTAAAAACCCATCTTTTTAGACAGGCTTTTGGTATTTAGCTCGTTCTAATCTTAACTCGTTTTTTTCCTGTTGTTTTATGCTGTTTCTTATTCTGATAGGGATGTCTTTTATTGTTGGGTTTTTAATAATTTGTAGTTTACTCTGTTTAGGTTTTTGTTTTAGTATTGTCTTGTACCTCTTGTGAAGCACTTTGTGCTCCTGCGGAGTTGTAAAGTGCTATATAAATAAACTATAAAAATTATTATAAGTATACATAGTTTAATAAACAAATGAAACATAGTCAATGAAATAGTATATATATTCTAGATCTAAATTTAATTTGACAAAATTGCTCTTTTAACATCAATCTACACTCAGTAACCCACTGTGACAAAGTGAAAAATGTTTTTTGCAAATTCATTTGAATCCCTCATTTACAAAAGTATTCAGAGCCTTTGCTCTGGCTCCAGACCGTGGTCACATACTTCTTGTTTGCTTTAATAGTCCTTGAGATGTGTCTAGAATGTGACTGGAGTATAACTGTGTCAAACTGAACTGAATGGACATACTGTAGTTTAGAAAGGTATATAAGATCCCACTATTCACATGTCAAGGCAAAAACCAAGCCATGAAGAGGAGCTCTCTGTAGACCTCTGTACATGTGACCTGGGACTGAGGCAACAGCTCACCTGTCAACACGACAGTGACCTCAAGCATAAAGCAGAGATAATACTTTGTCATTATGGGTTGTTGAGTCTAGATTGATGGGCAAAAATGGCACCATGCACAATATACAGCAACAAAGGTGCACAAAGCACTGGCTGCGCTACACGCTGCTGCTTGTCAAGCTCATCTGTCTGGACACATCGGTGGCCAGTGTAGGAAGTTTGGAAGAGTGCATCCACATCTTATCGAGATTCTTTTACATTATGCTGTAACACAGAGGTGGTGCTACCCAATCTGGCACTGGTGCCACCATCCGTGATGCTTGGTGCCACCAGTATGAAATGTTAGTCTGGAGCACTGAGTAATCAAGTGGAAATTAGCCAATGACCAGAGAACTGGCAAAGGTAGATAAACAGTCAATTTAAATTCTCTTTGTAGTGTCACTACTGTATATAATCCAGATACACAAATCCTGGAGCTCATATGTATGCCTGCAGAACACATGTCTAAAGTCGGTTACAGAAAATGTTTGTGTGAAAAGACACGCTTGTGCTGAATGATTCATGTCACCCTGGGTGTATCTTGCCAATGATTAACAGGCCTTTGTTTACCATCTTTTATCCTATTTAGGCCAAAATCTCTCAAACTTTGCTCAGGGTAAACAAATGTTGCTCTCATGTTATCTTAGTAGTATTTGTCTGTGGTTTCTTTATGTAAAGAAATCCTTGTTAGCCAAACTCAAACTGGCACATTGACCTGCACCAACAATTTCACCATGTCTAGTGCTGTCTCTCAGCTCTGTTACTGGAGCGGAACATGAGTATAAAAAAAAAAAAAAGTGCTATTAGCAGTGTGATTTTTATCATCCTTATGTTCCATTCTTCTGATGAATCTGATCATGTTCAGTTAAAACGTAGCCAGTGGCAATACACTAACACTTTGAATGTTTTTTTTTTTTTTTTTTGAGGAGTGAATTAGTCGGTTTAAAGTTGAATTCCAAACCTTTATCCACAGGATCATGCGTAAGGTTATGGGGAACAAATCCAGTTGCCCGACTCAGGGGGATAAGGTGGTTGAACTCATCTACATTGACATTGTGGGTCTCACCCAGTTCAAGAAGACACTGGGGCCGTCCTGGGTCCACTACCAGTAAGTACATTTAATGTTACATTTACAGGCCCTCAGAGCTAATTTTCACAGTTCTTACAATGAATCATGGGGTCCTACATGAACACACAATTTCCTCCCAAAGCTGGAATAGTTTTGGATGTTGCACTTGAGAAATGTGTGGTTTTGCTGGCTTGTAGCAGATTGTCATGTCATGTGCTTCAATGCAGCAATCAGGATTTTGCAACTCAGTATGACAGTTACAGTTGTGAGGCTGTTGTCAGCTCAGACACATTTTTGACTGAAGTGTCTCATAAGTAACACTTAGCTCAGCTCATCTTGGATTTGATTCTTTCTCATTTAGTTATGACTGTTTAATTTTACTGAAAAATATTTAGGATTCGAAACCAAGTTTGCAATTAAGCTTTGATTTTGAAGTAAATGGGCATTATATTTTTCATACACTGCCAAAACAAGTATTTTTTAGTTATTAGCAGTGTCAAGTAGAGATCAAAATTACTATTTATGCTTTATAGTAGTTCTAGTCAAACATTTTAAAATGCTGTATACTACTGAATACATTTTTTAAATTATGTCTGATTTGATGAAGGACAAAACCAACTGCCTCCTGCTAGACAGTTGTAAATCCTGCAGAATCAACACAGTTTGCAGTTTGTGGCTGCTGTCATGTGATTACATTTGTATTATTAATTTGATTTATCCAGGGAGTTTTTGCTGAGCATGCATACTGTTTTTCAACCCCTCCACACTTCCATACTGGCTGGTTTTCCAATTCAATTAGTATTTTGCAAGTGGCTATTGAGCAGCACAGCTGTTGCTTGTTGACAGTTATTGCCTTGTACAGTATCAGTCTCTTTCAGGACGGCCTTCCTCTTCTGAGTTTTTTTCATATCATCATATCATCCAGATAGCGAATTCAGTACTTTGTATGGCTTTTTGACATTGTGCTACAGCCGCCAGCTATGGTTTCACAGCTTCTGTCACATGGGCAAAGGCCAGTAGGTTGAGGCTTGTCTGGCACTGGTCAGACAATGAGTCTATTTTCTGCTCATATATTACCAGTTTCCCAGAAGGCTGAAGGAACGTCCGTTGTTCGTGATGTTTTCACCCTCCGAGTCTATTCTTTCTCTGATTGCTCCACTGAGGACTGTGGATGAGGTCTTCCTGGTTTGTTTTGAAAGCCTCTCATCTGCTCTGGCTGACAGGAAAAGAGAAGGAACAATAAGTCTGGGGGCATTAATGGCCCCGCTGGTTTCTACTGCTTGTCACAAGGTTTTGTTTTTTTAGCCATGTAACACCTTAAACTGCGTTCACTGCCTTTGTGCCCTGAGGAAATTGATTCAGCCTCAGGCATCATGCAAGGTCCAGATGTTGTTTTCTGTGTTATTTCTCCTGCTATTATTGCACATTTATGTCAGAGTACGAAATAGCACTGTATAATTTCTGGGAGCTTTGTGAAAGAAGACCTAGAGTTCAGGTTGGGCTATTTTTCTGTACTCCTCCTTCTGCCGCCAAAAGTGTTTTTTGTCGATTCCTGTTAGGTGAGAATTACACGTCTTGTCTTGGTGACCTGACAATCCTTAAGTGAAACCATATAAATCTTAATGTTATGTTTCGTAGGGGACTACAGGGAGATAGCCTTTAAATAGGACATGCCCAATTTGTTTGCATATCATACCCCAAATTTTAGCAAAATGTGTGTGCCTTTTTTTTCTTCTTTTTATTGTGGTTAAGGACAATGCATCCAGGTCTGTCACCTCCACCTAATGTGTTCTGTTATTTCTCCAGTCATAGCACTGTATCCAAGTGTTTCCTGCTACTCTGCAGGGACAGGAATACTCTGAGCTGTTGTTTTCTGGGTATAAACTACAGCCAGTATTGCCATATTGTTCACTTGCACTGTGTATAATCCTTTCATCCAGTAGCTTCATCGGGCAGTGCAGTAACATTTGCATCAGCACAGCTGCAGAAAATGCCTCCCCAGTTTTGCCTTTTGGTGTTGATGACAGTAATGCAGAAATGAAATTGGATAAATCAGCTGTGCAATGCTGCGCATGTGTAATTTCATCATTTTAACTCTGTCCTGATATACTGTATCTATCTGTTTCTTCTTTTCTTTTTCATTTGTCACACCTCCAATTTTTTCCCAAGAACTTTGTGTTGACAGAACACTACTTGTATGTATCACCTTTGTGTGTGTGTATGTTTAATTTGTGCGTCTGAATTTACTGACACAGTGTCAGTGTGGTTTAGTTATTGCTAGTAGCCAACCTGGTGTTTATGGTTTATTAGAAGGCAATGTAATCCAAAAGTCACTATATGACACTTCTAGTAAAATAATAACAGATATTTTATACATGCATATTTTTTATAGCAAAACCCAAATATCAGAGTTTGCCTTGCAGTAATTCAACCTAATGATTTTATAAGACACAGCATTAACTCAAACGTCCGCTTGTTATCAGCCTGGGCCTCAGGGTTGTGCAGACCCCCAGGTAGATGTCAGGAAGACAGAAATCCCCATCTGCCATCACTGCTTCCTAATGACCCATATGGGGCCACTATATTTATTGCTAATTTCACTTGGAGAGAGAAAAACATATCAATAATAATCATTGTTATACATGATAGTGATCACTTAAATTCTGGTGAAATTACACTGATACTTTGAGAACAACATCCCCACTCAGCCCAGCTTGATGCAGCCTCAGCTCCTGCCACGTTACTCAGCGGCTTCACTGCAGCCATATTTATACCATTCGCTGTCCCATCTGTTGAGGATATATCTATGGGGACAAACAAGAGTTGTTTTTCTCTGGATCAAGCAGAGATGACATGCAAGCCTGTTGTTGTTCTGCTTTCAGTCTAAAGTTTCCTCCTGGTGAATGTGCTTCCGAGCTGTCTGCTCTCCCAGGGCCTTTAACGGTTCACACAGCCAGCTGCACAGCATCTGCCTGGGCAGGGACACAATCAGTGAGAGAGAAGGGTGTTTTTTTGGCACAGATGTCTGTGTGGGTGTGGGAGACTTGGTTTCTTCTTATCACAGTGATTACTGCCCACTGTTCTACCTTGTCCCCAAGTTGGAGACATGACTTTATTCACCCTGTAGAGACAATAAAAACAGGCTCATCATTTTAAGCTTGTGTTGCATTCAAGATGAGTTACCAAGGAGACAGAATAACTTTGTAAGAAAAACAGACCAGTGAAAAAATGTGTTTTAATTCATGGCAGCAGATGTCCTTTTTTACCCTTTGCCCTCTTTATCTAAAAATGTGGATAGCCAGGGATAGATCACATATACATTATCAAACCTGCATCTAGAAAACAAGTGAGTAACAGTGAGCAGAACATGGAATTAAATGTCATGAGGAAGCTGTTCTTTGGATATATACCATTTCCTTTACTGGTTGTGATCTAATTAATCCTGCACTGTGGCCTTTGTGCTTGGCATGGTATTCATTTACAGAGCCGTGCACTATCTTCCAGCCTGAGCATGGAGCCTTTGTGGTTTCATGATCATTTCGGGAACTTAGAAACTTTAATATTGTGTATTTATGGACTTTCTTGGTTGGTCATAACTTAAAGTACATGCATCCAATGTTGAGGACTTAATTTTTTTGTGTGTCTATGCAAAAGCCTTTCATTTTTTGTGTCCTATAACTCACATAACTGACAAGCTGCTGCTGTAACTCCTGGCCACTCTGGTGATTTTAGAACACCAACATGCACCTGTACCTTTTACCTCACACAGTATTTGAACCAGTGTAAACTGCATGCCTATGCAGTACTACCAAGCAGTCGGTTTTCTTCCTGCTCACTAGTTGGATATAAAAGTGTGTGTGAGTTGAAAAAACCCTGGGTTTTTTTTTATCTTGGGCTACTGTGAAGGCAACTGGAGAGTAGTGTGGAATGAGCTGTGTATAGTGACTCTTTTTGTAGAGGTATTTAAAAGTTTTGCAATTTTTTTGTGTAAGATTTTCGAGCAAACTTAATAGAAATATATACAATATGATGCTCGTGTCAAGTAATTTATGGTACATGTGTCTGTGCTTCTAACCATGAACAGTTATTTAAAGTGCGTCTTTAATGTTATAGGTGCATGTTACGGGTGCTGGATTCATTCGGCACGGAGCCAGAGTTCAATCACGCCCACTATGCCCAGTCCAAGGGCCACAAGACGCCCTGGGGAAAGTGGAACCTCAACCCACAGCAGTTCAACACCATGTTCCGTAAGTCAGCAGGACATCCACACACATCACACACTCTTACCAAAGTGGTTCTGTCAGTGTGAGGACTAATAAGCGTTAGCCCACACTCTTGGCTGTTTTCTGTGTCTGCCATTCCAGTTTGATTTCCTCCTGTGAAGAAAATGTTTTTGTTAGAAACGAGGCATGAAAGATAGTCTGAAAACCCTCCTGTCTTCATATGCTGTGATTATGAAGGTAGAATGTAGGGATTTTATTGCTCAGTGTGTGTGCATCACTCCTACTGTGAGATCACTCTCTACTAGAGTCAGACACATTTGCTGAGGTGGATGAGAGGTGGCATTGCTGAAGAGGAGAGCATTTTCTAGGGAGCAATGGGAGCCAGCCCCCTGGAGTACTGACCTTTTCCCCATGGCTAAGAGAAAGTGAAATGTTACCCCTGCAGTCGCTGTCTGTGAGGTGAGGCACGGTGTTCGCCAGAATACCACTGCACCTCAATAGGCCCTTTGTCAGCTGAATAGGGTATGTCTTTCTCATAACACACTGGGGCCTTTGCAGAAGATTCAGTTAAGAGTTGCTAGGTTAGATGATATCACTGGTGAAGCAAGTGCACAGTGGTCTGGCGAGTGTGAAAACACAGAATGGCATCACTCCTAGGCACAAGAGGCGAGACAGACGTTTTTTGTTTTTCCCTTCTGCGCTGTGTGCAGCAAACCTCATACTATTTTAAGAACTACCAGGGTATTGACTTGGGTATAAGCCTTGTATTTAATATATATAAGCCTTACACATAGTGTCAACAAGGTGGAACAGACAGATGTAAGCTGATAATAGGATATTAAAGATCATAACCACTTGGTCGAAACTTGTATAAGATCATTTTTTATTCCTGGGTCTTTGGGTTGTGTTTCATCTCACCTATTGAATATAGCTGTAACATAGGATAAATCAGGTGCCAGTAGGTCATCTATCCTAGATCTGAGTTGTTTTATTTGTTGCCATTAGGCAGTGTTTCATACATCATTGGTTGGTAGAATTCGGAGTGTGTGGCCTCTGGCCAGAAAGACAAGACAAGGCCAAATTGACCTCATTAATCTTCTTCAGAGTCTGAATACCAGGGTGTGTGCATTTTATGTTTGAATGGGCTGCTGTCTTAGTTTAGTTGGCTCTGTTTCCCAGCACAAGCCATTATAATCAGGAGAGCTTGAAAATATAATGAGGTTAACTTTTCTGTTTCTGTCAAAAGTCCCACTTTATTTAGTATGCACATCATCATCATAAAACAGGTTTGATGCAGAAGACTTTTTGGTATATAAACCTGAAGTGAACTGCACTGACTACACACTACAGATATCCAATTATTTTGGAAACAAGGACGACTATGAATAATGATCCTTTAATCCCTCTGCACCACTGTCACAGAGATGTATTCCCTGTTCCATGCACACTTAAAGAAACCCATTAGAAACCTAGTTAAACATATACAGTACATGACAATTGCTCCCATATGTCTGCATCTGTATGTTTTTGCTATGTGTATCCTTGCCTTTGAATGCTTAATCTCTTAGGGAAATTCTGATTAATACTGGTCAGAAGTCAAACACAGTATCAGATAGTATTTATGTCTGAAGCACTGCCAACTGCGTGATTGACCCTGAGATCTGCCAGGCTGATACTGCCTGTAAAGCTGTCACTCGCTCACCCACTCACTTAAGGTTTTTTTTCCATCTGTGTACAGTGGTTAATTTGTACCAGAACAAGACAGATCTGGATCCGGCATCTCTCAAATTGTAACCGGCACTTATTTTGACAAACCTGGCACCTCATTTACGTACATATGAGGGAAATTGAATATATGAATAATATATGTAGAGTCCAAGGTCTAATACTTTTTGTACAGCTAGCCTTTTACAACAGCACATTAGACTAAAACTTGGACAATTAAATACAGTAAAAACAGGCAGTTAGGCTAGTTACATCACAAGGTAATGAGCTTACTCAGGTCACACTGGGTCAGGTGCACGTTCAGAGTAACTTTATGTTAGCCATGGAGCGAAAATGCGAATTCAGAAATGAGAACCTAAACAGGCAAAGCTGGACCCAATTATAAAGGCTACAACTAATGAAATGGTTAGTACAAGCCAGTGTGATGCTGAGGTCGTGCATTTCAAAAGGACATAGGACTGGAGCAAAGCACAGAATAACATGAAAGAGGCCCCGTTGCAAATTTAAGTCTTCTAATGTGATTTTTTTTTTTTTTTTTTTTGGTCGCTACAAATGAACAACAAATAAGCTACTCCATTAATGTTGAAACTATGCAAACACACCAGTCATTGAGGAAATGTTTTCATTCCGGGATCTCCTCTCCCCACCTTGACATGCCGGGTCTGTCACCGAGTGATGTTCCAGGACCTCCATAATTTACAAATTAAGTACTGTCTGTGTGGAATCAGTAGAGTGGTTCTCCAACTGTACATGCTGTCCAAAATACAAATATACTTTTTTTTACAGCAGCTGAGAACACATGAAAATGCGTTCTTGCAAGTGATATCATTACGACTACAAGACAAAAAGCAAGAATGTGTTAAAAGTCAAACACCATTTGTCACTTCCTGCTAATTAAAAGCAGACTAATGGCTTTCAAGTTGCCACCCTACCTGTACTGTTTATATCAGATAGGTTTTCTGCATTTTGTAATGAAACAGAAGCACATCCGACCCTAGAACACGTCATTCCTGTTCAGTGATCCCAGTGGGGGCAACACTGAAGATGTTATTTTGCTGTAATTGAGCACCTCTCACTCTGCTCCTAGCCTGTTTTATTTGAAATCTTTTCAGATGCTTGTTTTGATTGATTACAGTAATGGAAGTGCTACAGAAAACTCAGACACTGGAGTCCAGAACAGTAATATCCAAAATAATTTGCTACATAGTAGGCAGTTAACATTATGGAAAGCTGAACACAGAAACAGACACACACTTTCTAAACCACTCAACCTATTCATATCCCAATTTCCATGCAAGTGTTTTTGTACTGTATATTATTTATCTGTCCCATGCAGCGCCATTGTTATGTGGGGTATTAGAGTACAGCTGAGTGGTCTTATTTGTTTTGTCCTGTATGGAATGTGGCCAACATTAGCTAAAATTTAACTTCTGTTTCTGTGGTGTTTCAAACATGTGTTTTAAAATAGTAGCACGGTCTTTTAGGGTATATGCTTTTTTTACAATGTTCTCAAGAGCTAAATAGGAAGATCAATACCACTTTAATGTCTGTGTGCTGAATATGAAGCTAGAGTTATTGCCAAAAGTAAACAAAGCAAGAGAACATGTTGGATAGTGAGCTAGAGGTGCTGTTAGACAGAGTTTATTACCTTGAGACAGAGCTGGTCTCGTTTCTCTGTTTTCAGTATTTTTCAGCTAAGCTAACTGGCTACTATATATTTAGTTCACATACACAAGTGTGGTACAACTCTTAGCAAGAAAGTTCATATTTTCCAGAATCTGTGCAGTTAATGTCACTCCAAGTTGTTACCACTGATTGAAAACAGAAAGCTCAGCCATATTGAGGACACACTCATCCATCATGAGTTTTTTGGCAGATGGTAATGTTTACTGCTTATCCAAACTACTGATTATAGTGATTCATTTCCTCACTATGGATCCTATGTTTATATTTCACCTAACAAATCTTTAATCTGAATGCTCATCACTTTGTATCTCCAAGTTGTTGGTGTGAAAGTGTTCCAGTGTAATTTATTCATTCATTCAGATAAGTTGTAGGATCAAATAAAACAAAAAAACACACACACTTTCAACACATTGGAATTTTGTTTTTGTTTGTGATGCATCTTTGCAATTTGAAATTTTTTTATTTGTTTTATTTATTTATTTTTTTTACGTTTCTTATTTAATGAGAGTGTTTGTTTTAGGTGGTGGGCGAACATTAATCACTCAGTGTGAGACTTGGATCATATTTGTCTGGTAATTTTTCTTGTGCAATTACCCATTGTGTGATGATGTGCTATGGTTTACTGCTCCTTTAAAGAGCACTGAAGAAGCCCCAGTGCCACTCACTATGTTGGAAAAGATATCCATTTGTGACATTTCTCCAGCTCATTCCACCACTCGCCTTGTTCTGGGCTGTACCAGTATTGACTCCCAGTTTTGTCACAGTGAATCCAGGCTTACTATTAAAGCATTCACAAGACTTGGGGGCAATAAAGCAGCTGTTTCTGCAGCAATGCGGGCCTACCAGACAGTTTGTTAGCTAATGGCAGGAGAAGCTGTGACAAGTTGAGTGACATTTTGAGTGGCAGCCCTATTGGGAAAGGAGGCATCTGTTGCCAAATGCATGAGGGGGGCTGAACACTAATTATCAGCCTGTCCTGTTTACACAGTTAGCTTAGTACATGAGTGCCTGTGGTGCTGCCTCAGAGTTCCCAAGACTATCTCTGCTGTCAGACATACCTCTCAATTACATATTTACATTTATTCAAAAAGGCACTGGAAATAAGTTATATGTTTTGGATTTGCCCCTTTGTATCTGGATTCTTTGCTTTCTTATTAACAGTATTATGATTATTGCAACTAGAGGCAGATTTGAAAAGGATAGTTAAAAGCAAATCACTGACTTTCAGTTTCTAGTTTGGGTTAACCTAACATCAGATCCTACATTTCCCATAATGAAACTTGATTACATCATTTCATTAGACCTTCCCTGCTTGCTAAACTTCCACATCTTTCAGACTTCACATCCCCAGTTTGTATGGTAGGCTTTTAGCTGTCAAACCATAGCCAAGAAAAACCCGATGACATGACCACGGTTATTTTCTTAACTTGGCAAAGCTCCTTCAGAACCACAGAAGACACTATACAGCTGGTTTACAGGCTGGGTAGACTGATCGACATGTGTAAAAATCAGTGGAGGGCCCTTGTATTCCATGAGTTTATAGTGGATTTTGGGGTGTGACTTTCTTATTGTATGTTAAAAGCAGCATAAACATTATTAAGCCTTTTATATTGTTCTTGCTCATGTTATTCTTTTATCAGCAAGGAGTTATGAGTTATGATAAGCACTGAGCATTATAAAAGATGTGTGTCCATCCCCTTCTGATGAAAAATGAGACTGCACATTTTTGTCATTGCTCAGTAATTAGTTGGTCTGGTGCTGGGCTCAATTGTTCCGGATAACGTATTCCCTTGTCTCTGTTCCTAAACATGTTGAAGCCAGAGCCAATATGTGAGCTGCATGGATGGATGGATCAGTGGAACAGCAGTTTGCTTTTTTATCACGTGGCAGAAAATATCACATTCCAGCCAACGCCCTGACAAACACAGGCTTATTTGTGAAACTACTATAGCATAGTGGACATTTACTCATTATATTTGCTGATATCAGTTATATTATGACACAGTAGCTGCCTCCCCTCTTATTGCATAAGGTGTTAGTGGATGATTAGTGCAGAGGATATTGGCAGTAGTTGAATCTGACTCATTTAAATGCTGCCAGGCACCTGAATTTGCAGCTGTGGTGTCGAGATTCTTTACTATAATTATCTCTATAAACCCTTATTTTATTTACTATATGGGGTGAATATAGCTGGCTGGCTGACTTTAATTTGCTTTTGTAGTAAAAATGTTGTAGTACAAAGTGTGCTCTAACAGCATTTCCCTGGGGACCCCAACACAAACCATAGCCCTGCACCACAACACCTCCCTTGCAGCTTGTTTCATTTGCTTCAAGGGTTGATGATGTGGATTACTAAGCGTATAAATTTTTGAGTGACTCTTATCTGTCCACACTCCAAACCCTTGGCTTCATGCTTGTTTTACAAGGCAGATGGCGGTGTGGTAAAGTGCTGCTACACTTGACCTGCTTATTTCCTGGTTCCCATAGTAACTGGCCATCACATCACTGGGCAGTAAGCAATGGAGAAAACAAAATCCAGAGTCAAGTTGTGTTGTGCAGCAGTTTTTGTCTCCCTGTGGATTTGAGATCTGAGCTAAACCCTGAGGTTTTACTCTATCAACAGCCCCTTTTACACTGCCTGCTCAAGACAGGATTATTGTGCCATGACACTAAAATATAAGAGCTACCCAGCCGGAATAGGTGGCCAGTGTTGATGCAACCGTTCCCTCTCGGACTGTAAAAGGGGAGAGGCAGCTTGAAGGGTTGTGGGCAGAAAGATATGAAGTGTTGATGAATTGTTGTTTCTGTGACACGCTGCCGCAGAATTAAAATTTTAATGTTGCTCGCAAGAAACTGAATCCTTGACCATAATCATTGTGCACAACAACTTTTAGTCTGAAACATGTCATAAGATGAGCAGGATGAGCAAAAGCACTTTCCGTCTTTGTTCATCTGCCAGTATTGCATGTCATGCTGAACATAAGCCTCTAATACCAGGCTGCCTGTACCTGTGTAAGATGAAGAGATGCAGCATCGTGTCAGCTTTGTTTTTTAGATCAGTCTAAATAGGCTTAGCTGCAGTAACGAAGGGACAGGTTTACGCTAGCAGAATAAGTGCAAATAAGGCATAAGTGAATTGTGTGTACTCTAAAGAGCAAATCTGTGTGTAAGATTTATTTGAGGCATTTTTGTTTTGGCCTCAGTGTTGCATAAATTAAGGTGAGGAAAATGGCTACTATGCCTGAAGTCATTTGTCATTTTATTCCCTAAGATGTGATCACTGACTTTTTTTTTTTGCCACTTTCTTTTCTTTCTTTCTTTCCCCTGTTCTTTTTCTTTCCATTAATCTTGCTGTAAACCATATTTAAATGTGTCATAGGTGAAATAAAGCCTTTGAGAGCTCACTCTTCATAATTCACTTGAGCTGTGTGTGTGTGAGTGTGTGTGTGTGTGTGTGTGTGTGTGTAAATATTTATACATCTTTTGTGTTTCTTTTTGTTCCAGCTCATACACCAGACAACAGTTTCCTAGGCTTCGTGGTGGAGCAGCACCTCAATGCCAGTGACATCAAGCACATCGATGATATCAAGAGGCAGAACCAGTCACTAGTCTATGGCAAGGTTGACAACTTCTGGAAGGTACTTCTCACACATGCACAAGAGAAAGTAGTTCTAAACCCCTTAAACACGTCCATATACACACTGCATACACCTACATTCACAGACACTTGCTTTTTAAGACTTGCATGTTTTGACATACAAAATAGTATACAGATATACGTATGTATTCCTTCTGAAGATGAAAGCGTCAGACTTCACTAGCCAAAGATTGGCACACCGAGGATCACCCATTTTTAGACCTCTGAGAGCTCTGCAGTGAAACTCTTTGAACAACCTTGGGTAAAACTTTCACAGGAAACTTAATATCAGCTGGGCTTAGTAGCTCCGATTCAGCTTATCACCCTCTCCGTGGAGGTTTTAATATATTCAAATGCATGCTCGCACTGCGGCACAAAGGCCAAGGGATTACTGTATCCTAGACAAAAAATGACTTGGAGACTGGAGAGACTTGCACATTGTTTGGCATGCCATGCATGGCTGGTTTACAGCCTGTGCCTTGATGAGCTGTAGGCTGGCCATGTATGTTTCAGAGTCGCTCCAGATCCGGTTGACTCTTTTCATGTCTGAGGCAGTAACTTGGTGCAGTGATAATAGAAGTCACAGGAGAGACTTGTTTTCATTAAACATGTTTGTAGTGCAGATGGCTTCTCACGTGGAACAGTGTGATGAATCTGTGGTGAATTGAATAACAAACCCAACCCACAGTAACTGATTAATGATCTTACTGTGCAAATACTGTTGTTTCAGTTGGTTGTGGTTTGTTCCCTTGACATTACAGACCATTCCCACTGTTGGTCTTTGGTTCTTGTTGGTCTTTGGTTCTTCTTACCATGCTAACTCTGAGAGACGAGACAGTCCAAGTAACTTCAAAACAGTGCTGATTTATTCAAAGGATCACAGGTAAAATTAACATTACACGCTCAGGTATCTTGCACCTCCAAACTGCTCGCAGGCAGATGTAAGATGAAAG